CCTGAGTTAGAACCACTCCACCACCGCCTCCCCCGTTTTCTTACCGTCTTAGGCAGCCTGTGTATGGCCACAGCCCCCTTCTTGAAGGTTGACTGTATATTTTTATATTTAATAAATAAAAAAGAAAGTCAAACGAATTTTTACGCGGTTTTGTCATCACGCTCAAATAGCAGTCGTCAAAAAGCTGTGCATTTTCGGGAAGACCCTCACAGTTCTGGTTTGTGTTTAGTGCAACGCCTAGTTAAAAACGCCTGTGGGTAGCCACTGGTCTGAGACACCTTGTCTAACAGATCCAATTCGTTTCTCAGCGTCTCAAGTGGTCAATGGTTTCAGACTTCATTGAACAATGTTCTCACCAAGCAACGTTTTTAACTCAAAGCTCACAAATAACCAAAGGTACCAAGTAGGTAATTCATTTCATGGTGCCACTGGGAAAAAAGCAAAGAAACAGACTGATCATTATGAAACGCTTGGTAAAACCGTAAATAACACTTACATAAAATCGTGACAATACTTGTTCTTCCGAGCTAGTCGTTCATTTAACATGAAACGGTATTGCAAATGCATACCAATTACCGATAATTCTGAGACACGGATTATAGATCTTGAGGTCATTAAATACATTCTTCAATTTTCAACGGATTTTTCCATGTTGACTGATTTTAACACATTGTGGGACTGGTGATTGTTTTTAAACCGGTTAAGCTGATGTAACACACTGACTCCATTATCATTCTGATATATTACGGAACGAGTATTTGGCTATGAATAAAAGCATAAATTACCTTATTACAACTGTTTTCTTTTGAAACCCTTTGCAGAAACGGAACCAGGATGTATTCAAATTTCGCGGTAATATATAAACGACGTATCTTCGATTCAAGATTTCACTGAGGAATCTGAAGAATAATGTGCAGCTCTCCGGGAAAAAAACACAGTTTGGGATCCGTTATATTGTCTTTCAGTTTTTTATTATGTTGCACTTGGAGTACAGGTCAACTACTGGAACGTATCACAGTGATTGAGAATAGTCCCCTGAATACGGTAATACTGGATTTGCGTTCCGCCCTAGTTCGTCATGGTGAGGGTCAGCTACCTCCGAATGCCACAGCTTATGCAAGTCAACAAGAGGCATTTTGGCCATTTGTTTTGGAAGACTTCGTGATTAAATTGGGCCGGCCACTTGATCGTGAGGCTATCTGCCAACGTCAGAAGGCGGATATGAGGAGTAGTGATGCTCAGACCGGTATTCGTGATCATTTATCTTATGGTCGACCCAGTGATAGTTGTTTACCTGAGGCATGTTGCCAACTTTTACATGTGAATATACTGCCCAGTCCAACTGCTTTGCCGAAAGCATTCTATATTGAAGTAGCTGTTCAAGATATCAATGATAATGCACCTCAATTCCCCCCAATTCACTCACCATACACAATGGTTCGTGAAGATGTTGGATTGGATGAGAAGATCTGGTTACCGCAGGCTGTGGATCTGGATAGTCCGCGGTATTCTGTGATTGATTATAGAACGGAAAATTGGGTGCACGGGAACGCTTCGCATTTCCAGCTGGGAATCGCTGAGGAGAACGGACTCAGTGATACCATTTATTTGGAGACGGAAAACCTACCCATCACCCTCTCTAGTTCTATGATTCAAACCCGAATGCCATCAGTGGGTAGACCCTTTATAAAACCAACCGGGCCTTTGGATAGAGAAGCGTGTGATACGTATGCATTCACTCTGATTGCTGTTGACGGTGGAGATCAAATGATATCGGAGAAACATACGGAAAATCGTGTGCAAACTGGCACAGTGAATGTTGTCATCAAAATCGCGGACATTAATGATAATAGACCAGTATTTGATAACACATTTTACGAAGTAAAAGTAGTGGAAAATATTGTGACTTCTTCAGTCCTTGAGTTTGAGGTAACAGATAATGACACCGGTGATAATGGCCGAATTGCAGTCAACATTCACGATCCTGCGGGTCATGCTCAACGTCTGTTCCGGGTCGGATTGCATCCGATCACAAAATCAAGTACACATTCCGCTCCTGCAGATATGTTTTCATCCAAAGGTTCGTATTATAAAGGATTTCTGCAACTGATCAGTCATATTGATGCTGAACGGTACCCTGCAACATTGCGATTCTCCTTGGTCGCCTCGGATATGGGGCAGCCCAGCTTGTCATCACGTGCCAATGTGCAAATACACATTATCAATGTGAATGACAATGCACCTCAGATAGCATTCTTTAGCCGCGGACGTCGCTTGGCAGATAATCGAATATCCCTTCCGGAAATAGACACACCTCCATTATCATTGGTCGTTTTAGTTCACGTGACCGACGCTGACTCTCCGGTTGCACAAATTAGATGTCGTATTACACACGAATCTGAAATGTTCTCCTTGGAAGAAGCAACAGGCTCCGGGTATTCAAACGTCCGTCATGAGGCTTTATATGAACCAGTAATAGAGCCAAGGGGTATCGTGGCCAGCTACCGACAGTTTGCCCTGCGAACCAAAGCAGAGTTGGATCGGGAAACTAAAAGTCACTATACAGTGAGTTGATAAAATGTATTTCATTATTGGCCGATATTTTCCGTCACCCATTGAAATGGTTCAACTTTTACAATTAACCGGTTCTCGTTATTCGTTTAGAGAAGCAAATAAACCCAAAGTGAAAATATTATTGATGACAATCTTAAGCACCACAATAGAATTGCACTCAATTCCGTGACTCTAGATTAATGTGCACTTTACAAAGTTAATAATTACGTAACTTTAGATGTTGGAAGTCTCTGCTTTGATGACTTTCTCGGTGTTAACCAAGACAATTTTGGCCTTCTTTAATAGATAATGTACGCCATACTTTTTTAATTCAATTATTTATGCATCGAATGAAGATGTCATTGTATTACTTCAAGATGACGCGGTACCAAGATACCTGAACAGTATTGTTTGATGCTTGCACAACGTGAGTCTGAAAATATATAAACACCTAAATATTTTTTTCCTTAGGCCAAACTTTCTATATTTGATTAATGATTATTATAGAGCAGATCATGATACCATAACGTTTCTAAGGCCGATTAACTGTAAACCTAGAGGTAAAACCTGCAAGTTCACCGTGATCGTCCTTGATTTAAGCGTTTCTTCACACACGTATATATCTCTATATATCAGGGAACTAGGGCGTGTCATTGCGTTTCCATTACTATTAATTAATAACATTTATCCTAAATCTACCTCCAAATCTTGCGGATTCAAGTGCAAACGGCAAGTTTGCCCAAATCTGTTAAGACAGTTTTACATACAGCTTGACTGGGTATGACTACCGTATAGTGACTGCCTAGCGGTTATTTGAAGTGATAGGTGAGATAAATGTTTGCAAAATAATGAGACCTGAATTGAGAACCGAAGGTAACATTGCAATCATCCACTTTGGCGGGAATCGTTGCACCTTCAAACAGAACCGACTAGCTGAGCTCTTCTAAATATTGTGAAGCATGAGTCGCGGTCTTCTTCTACGCATTCAAATATGGTTGTTTGTCCTCAATTTATTTAGATCAGATAACCAGATGTTATCAACTCATATTCCGGCATAATCTCTTGGTAGCTATATAACATCTCAGGACCCGAGTCCACGCACGTCACTCCCAATTCATACTACATTTACAAGTTCTGATATTGTAATGATCTCTTTCCCCAACTAACATTTTGATCCAAATTTTGATGGATGTTGATGAATCACCGCAAATAAGCACGTTAGCTGTTGTGATCTTATTGCAATGTTCATTGATGGTATTTTTGGACAACACTGGTTTTAGAGCCAGTTCAGAATGTTTCTTTTAGATGGAAACTAATAAAATGATCGTTCTGTTTGCCGTTGTGAAAGCTGTAAAACCAGTAATCCAATGCATGCAATTGATAAAACGACTGAAACATCCTGGGTAACACCTACATCCCAAACGTTTGTTCCTATCTCAGTACATTCTTCGAAGAGAAAGAGCCAGTTATGGACAAATTATCGGAGTTGATTATGGAAAATAATCAATTAGATATTCTGAAGGCAAAAGCTTTTTCCAACTATTCCATGTCTGCCAATACCAGACCAGTTAAAATGCTGCGGTGTTTCAAAGTTTCTTTAGCCGTAGTGAAAACTGAGGCACTGATAAGTGCACTCAGTTTAAATGACAACAACACAGTTTTCATTTTCTCTTTTCCGGATATTCATTCCGCGGATGACAAGATGTGAGAAAATATTGGCGAAAAGCTGACCACCTGCAACTTGACTGTGACAAATTACCCAATCTCATGCCGTCTTTGCCTTTGTCGCCTCACGGTTGACTGATAACATCCAAATTAGACTCTGTAAAGTATGAACTTCTTTCGCACTCACCCTATTTTTAGTGATCCAATAATGTATTAGTTTGATCGATTCGGGGGATTTGTTTATCTCATAAGGCACTGCTGTTTTAGACGAGCAATTTGTGACAACTCTTCAAATGACGTATATCAATTTTTGTCCCCATTCGGTGGTTTAACAGAGTAACGGGAACAGAAGGACGAATGTCAGAGTGGAAAATATGATAACAGATTTTGTTCGCTTTGTATCGAGCGAAATTCGGATGCAGATATATAGAAAGAGGGAAGTTAGGATGGAAAAACAACGAGAGTGCTTCGAGGCAGGATTTGATAAATCATAAGCTGCGTGGGTTATGTAGCAGTGATACACATTGTTCAGAGTGAATGAGACAAATGAGACAAAATATAAGTTTAGATGTTTTACTGCCTGCTAGTTGAAATTTATTCTTCTAGTGAATTGATATCATAACTATAAAGAAAACTTAGTGACGCCCGTTCTTTTATGAGTAACTGCAAACAAACTAATTGCTTGTATTCCTTATATATGTTTCAACCATCATTCATTAATTTGAGCGAACATTTTCATGCGCCAATTGAGTAGATTGCTGAACTCAAACCTATTGGAACCACGAAAAGCCATTATTTTTATTTCTTGTTAACAGTCAATATCGGCTTCTCAATCAATGTGATCAAAGCATATTATATTGTTCCTATAACGTTCGGTTGAAAATAACTTAAAAGACGAAAGAAACATGCACATAATTGAAATAAACCATTTATAATTAATCTGTCTGGTTATAATTACTATTTGAATTTATTTTTATTTGCTAAGATAAATAAAGAAAATTGTTTAGAAATTTCAAAATGTGCTCTAAACACAAATCACCAATGAACTATGTATTTTCGTTCCAATAAGCAAGAAGCTTATTGATCAGGTCTCAGGAACGATATTAATGAATAAATACGACTGATCACTGTTCAGAGATACCGAGCCATATTTCACGGAGAAACAAAAGGAACATATTTCTTCAGTAAATGCAATCGTTTAAAGAAACGTTCCCAATTTGAAAACGTGCTTTTGTTCTTACAATGCTAGCGTTAAAGTTTAATATGATCAAGGCTGGCCTGACGACACTTGTTTGTTTACGGAAAACACTGAGAGTATCGATAAATGGAACCACATGAAATGAAACGTCGCATCTGTAATAGGTCTTCATAATTTCGACAATTACGCAGGTTAATTGATGAAGTATGTTTCATTTTCATTAGTTACAATTTTGAACCCAACAATCCACTCCATGAGGTTTTGTTCATTCTTGAAAGCTGTAATGAGCCGCCAATCACGTTCGTTTGAGCAATCCAAACATACTACGTTCCAGTGTGGGTAACATCTCAAGCATCAGTAGTGATATCGTTCATATCACTCCGGTCCCTGACGGCTGAAGTGGCTGCATGAAATATTTGACTATTTAGCTGATCGTAGTGAGTACGCGTTAAGATTGATTTCATGCGTCAGGTACTCAACTAGAGGGTGTTGAAGATCAATATATATGTTTTTTATTATATGTTTATCACACATACCGACGAAGTAAATGGAAAAGGGAGAAGTAATTCAGATTGTGAGTTACCAACCTCTACCATTTTAACTCTTTCTTTTGTGTTTCCAATAAATTCAGAGTCCCCAGATAGGTGAGCCTCACTTGTCCATGAACGTTTTAGTACCCTATGCAGTGGAAACGTTTTCATGCGGTAGAGGAAATGATGAATTACGCAATAGTAACTATTATCCATTCAAGTTGATTAATCCTGATTATTATTCAATTGAATGTGATTTATGTCATCCCTGGAGAATTGCAAGACATAAAAATGCCTTCTCAATTCTAGAGTGATGTTTTTAAGTGAATCTAGCATCAACGTAAAGTCTAAAACAGCTGTGGGTAGATGGCAATGAAAATAACCTTCCATTAGATGTTGCTAGGTGGTCAATGATGCAACCATTTGTATTGCATGAAAAAACACGCAATTATAGTGCAACACTAGAATACCAAGAATTGGAATATTTTGACAGGATTGTTGAAATGACTTAACACAGTTACACTTTCCCTGAAATAAACGTAGTCATTGCAGTGTCAAGCAAATACACCAAGCATCACGTATTCGTAATACTTGGAGAAACAGATGGCTGCTTGGCTCCTGCTGCATTACTAATCAAAAAGAGAAACAGTATAACATCAAAGTTGCGGATTTTCGAAGTCGGTCACGTTAGTTTGTGGCGTACGTGGAATGCATTGTTTCATATAGAGAAATATGTTTTCGCTACTGGACAAATTACTCATATGAGTTATGAAATGTCCATCTATGAACGGCGGACGTGTTCCACATATTTTATTTATTATTAGCATTGCTTGAGTCATCCAATGATTTGAATTAATTTTTCATCCCAAGCTTGAGTGGTTGGCATTCTGGTTCATGCGCAATGTGTCCTTCAAGCAGCAAATGCAGCAACGAAATCCTTGTGTTACATCCGGTGATCAATACATTCAGTTTGCACGGCATACTCGCCATCAATGACTTATCATGTTCCGTCCATTTGACCCGAAATCTAAGCAGAGTAAACGATGAGTGAACAAAACTAATTAGCTAAGAACACAGATGATTGAGCAAATGTGAACCCCACAGGCGTCCTATGATAATTCGCACATATGGTAAATCGGTCACAATGATGTCCAACAAAACCGATAGTGACAAAACATCTGCCAGGCTAGATCAAACCGGTCAACAGATATTTAACGAACAGAAGAGACAAGGCAGTTAAATGAACACTTTGTTGGGTCTGTGTGAATTATAATTATTTTATTATTATTATATTATAATTATAAGTGAATAAGAAAACTCATAGCGCAAGCATGGGAAATGTGGTGAAGGAATCACTTGAACACCGTGATATATATATATATATTTCATAAAGGCCTGAATCCAGATTGTGTGCCAAACAAATCATGGTGCAATAATCTCTATGGAAATGAAAAACGTTCGATGATTTACCTGTGGGCGGAACTTTGCAAGGTTACCCAGGCCAGGGCAGGTGAATTTGCTTGAGGAATCAACAGCCGAAGCCTTTGGCTAGTCACAGCCTGACCCCTAGGCAGCGGAGGGTTGTGCGAAAACCGCAATCCATTGGGGGCCGGTGTCCA